AATTCTGAGTTTAAGAGTCTCAGCTTAAGATTCGAACTTAAGAACTCAGCAGCAGATTCTAAATTTTAGAGCCAGTTTTTAGAATAACAAGCTACATCTTAATTTACTCTTTACGCCAATTTGAAAATAGCCTGACGGTTTAATTTACCAAATTCTCTTTTTCTTCTTTCGGCAGGTGTCTGAGATCCACTTTGGGGACTTGGCTTTCTTCCTCCTAGACTCTTTCCATTTGAGCCTCCAATGTAGCATCTTTAAAATTTAACTTTGCTCTTTTCGCGCGTAAAAAATCAATCCTTAAATTACTGGCGCTAGCAAATATTTGACTACGAAGAAGGTAACCCTCTCTTCCTCGTATTTAATATTAACGTGCAGACCCATTTTCTTGAGGCATATGCACTGCTTACCCTGGACGGCGATTATTTTCTGCACTGTTACTTTAAAAAATGCTTTTAACAGCGCACTTTCAAACGTTTCTCAGGTGTATGTTTCCAAGTCAAACAAGACCAAGGTGACCAAGTAAAAAGGGGTATTTCCCTTTTTAATTGCAACAAAAACTCAGCTGTTTTAGGGAAAACTTTAATGAAAATACTACAATATGAACATGCCTAAGAGTGAAGATAACTTCTTTGCAATATTAGGCGGAGGGTAATTTTTGATAATTATTATTTTAGAATTTTCGGTCTCAACTCCTTTCTTCGATATTTTATATCCTAAATAACGAAGTAACCGCGAATTTGCACTTGAAGGTATTTACTTTTAGTCTTGCTTCGTTTAGAAGCGAAATATTCCGTTTAAATGTTTAGTATGTTCATCACTTTCACTGCTAATTATTATATCGTCTAGGTCAGCGGTTCTCAAACTTTTGACTAACGGTTTCGGTTTAGTTAATTACAGTAAGATTATTTTTCTTTCTACACAGCACCACCGGGCTAACGTAAGGGCTACTTATTGGTGTTATAATTTTATTCTTTAACATTTCCTGGATATGCTCTTCTATCTTTTACCTTATCGTAGCAATAAAGTTTTGATCTTACAGGGCCGCGTCACCAGTATCTATACTATGGCTCACAATTTGTGTCTGGCCTGGACGCTCATCAAATTGGAAAACTGGCTTACTAACTTCTTCAGTTATTTTTCTTTCGGCTTGCCACATATTTAGAGTGTCAACATGCCGCACCGACACTATATATTTACAAACATCCATGCCTTCTCCGGAATTCGAACCCGGGCCCTTTCGCACGGCAGTCAACGACGCTAACTACTGTACCGGCTGGGCGGCGGAAATCAGCCTTGCATGTATGATAACTAGTTCTCAAACAGATATCATTCGGCAAAGCATAATATATTTAATTTGTCTTTCAAATTGAATCTTTAATTTATAAAATATTTAACCAACCTGTAACTATTTAAGAAACTGCAATTTAAAAACAATAAATGTATTTTTAATAATTTAAATCTTTACAGCATTTTTAAAATATACTTAACTAATATAAATTAAAATGCATTTGATTATAATATGTCGGACTGATAATTTTTATAAATATCCGTGACATTGTTGTAATTAAAAAAGATTTCTAAGGGCATATTATAAAGCTGATTCAGAACTGCAAGATTTGTGGGAACATGGAACTTAAATTTCGCTGGATGATAGGTAGTATAATTCGTCTCTTTTTTATTAACTAATCACTGGGATGTCTCTGTTTTTCTATTTGTATGTAGCCAGTGATATGATTTCTGGTTTGAAGATTGGGAAAGTTACATAAGATGATCAGATTTGTAAGCATTTGACATTTCAATGTAACATACTATAACCAAATATATTTATAATACTTGTCTTCAGACTGAACTTCTCTAAAGTTCAGAAGCTTTCACTTACAGTAGTTTTTCACATACCAGGCTTATGAAGCCTCATTTTCTCCAAAGAATTGTGCATTAAACAAACCTGTTTCCAGTGTTAATGACCTCATCAAAAGTAATAATATTTTAACAAGAAGGCAAGGTTGCTTGTATTATTGGCTTTGAGAAAGCTTTGACAAAGTCTGAGACATACTGTGTTCATTCAAGAACTTATAAATACCTTTTTTCCTGCTTTAACAATATGCACATTTTAAAAAGTCATTGACACTGTAAACTAAAGTTCTTTAAAATGCTTAGTTTATATTTGGCAGTAATCTTAATGGTCTGTATCTATCTAAACATAGTAAAGCATTGTCTGGTTTACCAAAAACTAGTAAATTTTGAAATCATCTGATGAGATGTATCTTTGATGTATCTTGAACCTCAGGATTGTTAACGCATAATCAAACGCTAAATCCATCAAGGGAGTGCTGTAAGTTATTTGCACGCATCGAGACTAATTTTTCAGATCAACGACTTCCTAGACTCTGAGTTGGATTTATGTATCGATATAGTGTTGTTTACTTTGTAGAGACATTAGGTTGTTTCGAAGCAGGAGAGATGAAAAAAGAGCAATGCTCTCCCCGAGACTCGAACCACGGACCTCTCGAAAAAGCGCCGAGTGTGCTGACCACTACACCACGAAGGCATGCTAGGAAGGTGAGAGAAATATCTTATAACTTTAAGTTCACAAAGGGAGAGGACAAAACTTCAGTAGATGCTTACGGATTCTAAAGACTGATGCTCAAAATGAAGGACATACACTAACGCAAACTAGAGTTAAATGATTCTGTTCAGCAGGGAAAAATTTAACCAATGGTGAGATCTGAATATTGAGGTCGGTATTACATACCACCCCCCCATTACGCAGGTAATAGTATTCTTACGTACAAATCATTTTTCAAATTGATTTTCCTTTGCATAATTCTTCATATATGAAGCATTTTAATTCAGGCAGTTTAGAAATGAAAACACCGTTTGGTTTTTTTTAGTACATTCTACGAAATGTTTCAATAAGCTCTAAGCTCAAGTATGAAGTAAAAATTGTGAGAATAAGAAATGTGATGAAATGATTACAAAGTCCTTTAGGAAGATAAAACGAAAATACTTATAATTTACGTCATTATTTGAGTTTTGATCGTTTTCAATTAGTGATATCGGTTAGTATATATATTATGAATACTAACAGATATATCTGTTAGTATCTGAAAATATAACACCTTGTTTTGTAACTGATTTCTTAACAGAAGAAAACGTAGCATTTGTGAAGGTATGATTGCAGTCTATGATAAAACAGCATTTTTCCATGCCTCCATTAGAAGGTGGGATGTCATACTTAGACAGGTTTCAGTGCAGTTGTGCGAGTTAATGTCGAAAATTATACGACGGGGGGAAAAACTCAAAAAACAATGGTAGTTTTGCTACAAAAATAGGAGTCAGTGCTGGATCAGTGAAAAATATTCTGCAGGAAAAGTTAAGGAAGTCGAAGATATGGGCCAGATGATTGCCCATAATGTTAACGCCCTTGGGTAGAATACCCTCGAGAACTGTTCTCTATGATAAACTCCGATACAAATTTGTATTCATTGGACAGGAAATATAATATCACCATCAGCAGCAAAACAAAAAAGCATAATGCAGAAACCTCATGGATCTCCTTGATCCCATAAGTCCAGAATACAGAAATCTACTTCTCTGTTGATTTTGGAAACCACTTTTTTGAGGTGAGATGAAGAGAAAACGCATCGTATTGGTTATACGTTACATAATACCACAATAACACGTGTTCATCATGCTAATTTGTTGACTTGTGTCCGACAAACCATAAAATTAAAACGCCGTGGAAGTCTCAACAGGAACGTGTCGTTTTTGCACAACATGCCAGCACCCAGGGCTCATGTTTCCAAAACTGCTGTCTAGCAATGCAGATTTTAGTTTAACCTTAATTCACCAGACACGGGGTGAGATCTGGTGGATTAAAGAAGTTTTGTTTCAAAATATAAGGCAGCAGTTGCGTGTTTCACATTATAGAGATGATGAACATTTGAAAGATGCCATGCAGGAATGACTTGAAAATATTTTTTCTTCTGTGAACCGAAATTTAATGCTGGATCTCTATGCTAAGAGCATTGAAGTGTTCGGAAACGTAGAAAACTTATAAAATAATTTTAGACATTTAGCTTGCACAAGCGTATTAGGTTAAACCAGCTGAACGCCCTTTCTTCCAATAGCAAGGGTTAGTTTTTTTTTTTTTTAACTATAATTTTTTTTTCTGTACATTAAGCAAAAATTTGTTAAATTTTTCAACGCAAAGTATTCATTTTTAAATGTTATGAAACATACAGTTATAATATTGCATATATATGGTAGGAACCTATTTAAATCGATATATAGATGAAATTACTTCCTAATGTACATACAAATATAGAAGACATATGTTATATATAAATATTTGAAAAATCAGATGTGCCATGTGAAATCTCATATTTAGTCATCCTAAATCATACCATTGTCCTAAATCTTTTGACGAAGCTGAAGGGACCCAGAGATAGAACAAATTTTAATTTCATTTTCTGCAGTACAAATGAAGTAATTTATAATCTCACAGCATAAACACAATCGTGGTGAATTTTCATATTTATCTAAAGAAATAAAATGAATAAAATCATAATTAAGTTATTTCTAGTGAATGAAGAGGCTGACTTTGTTACGAATTTTTATCGTTTCTTTCATTGGCAACAAAAATTGGAACATCTCAATCACAAAGATATTCCTCATATTTAGCAGGATATTTGCTTATTCTTTAGAACCTAGAAAGAGTCAAAATTTTTAAACTGAAAATTATACTAAAAATTCCTGTACAATAAAAAAAGTATCCATGTTTAAGATATCTTTCTATTTTAATTCACGAAGTCTGTAGGGTCACTATATAACTGTGCCTTCACATGATAAAGTATCAGAATAATTTTAATGAAGTAATTCTAAGGAAGATTTCGTAAGTGTATGTTAATTGTGCAATATGTGGTATGGTGGGCGATTTTATTTATATATGTATATATGTGAGAGAGAGAGATTTCATGATAATAATCATTTATCTTTTTCAGATGATGTCGATGAATGTCGCTGCTCTGATAATAATCGTAGCTTCGTTTCTTGAACCGCTGTACAGTGCCAACAGTTCTCCTCAACTACCCACATTTGCGGTGCCTGATAACAATGACGAGAGCACATTTTACGAAAAAAGCTGTACTGATAAAGATGATAGAACGAACTTTATCCTGACACTTTACGTTCCGGATCGGACGGAGCCACAAGAAAATTCTACTTTTTATCTTAAACGACAGTTTGATCCTTGGGGTGGGAAAAGACAACCAAAAGGTTTCAATCTTCTATCAACAATAAATCAAAAGCTGACTAAGCGAAAAAGGCAGTTCAGTCCTTGGGGAGGAAAACGTTCTGTCGACCGAGCTGAACAGAACAATGATGATGTGGTTAACGACGAAGAGCTTTCTTATATATTATCCAAGAAAAGAAATGTTAAATATTTAAAAAATAAAAGAAATTTTCAGCTTCGGGGAGGAAAAAGAAATTTTCAGCCTTGGGGAGGAAAAAGAAATTTTCAACCTTGGGGAGGAAAAAGAAATTTTCACCCATGGGGAGGAAAAAGGAATTTTCAACCATGGGGAGGAAAAAGAAATTTTCAACCATGGGGAGGAAAGAGAAATTTCCGACCTTGGGGAGGAAAAAGGATCTCCATTCTCAAAAAGTAACAACGATTTTAATTTGGAGCTGGAAAAGATCGATCAATTTTGAAAATGAAGAGGAAAATGCAAATTATGATACAAATATTGAAAGCAAAATTAAGAAACAAGGATCCTTGAATACTTTGGCGGACAAAATAAATTTTAACTCTGTTCCGAAGACAGCTTTCAGTTCCTGGGGTGGTAAAAGAACCTTCAACGCTTAGTTAAACACAATTTATACTAGATCGGGAAACTGAATATAGTCTTTTTGCTATAAAAATATTTCCACGTTGAATCCGTTTTAAGAAATAAGTTATTGAAGTTTGAATTTTAAATCAGTAGTTTAATGAATATCGAATTCCAAAATGAATTCTGAGGGAAGAGCAGCGAAATAAAGTTTTGCATTAAGTTCTCATTCATTGTCAGAAAGTGGCTTTTTTACGTATATGTAAAACTAATGCAGTCATGAACATGTCAATAACTTTTGAACTAAGCCAAGAATTTAACAAGTAATAAAATGTTTTCCATCTTAAGTTTTTGATGTTCATTTTCTAGCAGTGTACTGTATATACTGTATATGCATAGTATATAAATAAATGCATAGTAATAATTATTATATGCATGCTATATAAATAAATGGCAGCTCCTTGTTTCGATGTTACTAGCAGAAAGAAAAAGCAATTAATGCTAGATATGATGAAAAGCTCATACTTTAAGATCCAAGCTAAATTAATTTTAATTATTTTTGTTATATTATACATTATACACTGAAGAGCCAAAACATTATGATCACCTACTCAGTAACGCGTTGCACGACCTTTGGCCTGCAAAACAACTGCAACTCGCCTTGGTATGGATGCCACAAGTTCTTGGTAGATGACTGGAGACATGTTGTACCAAATGTCTAAGCAGCGGTCACGCAAAGTCGAGATATTCCAGCATGGTGGTGTTTCAGCTCTCCATGACATACCAAATGGGCTCTATCGGGTTAAGATCCAGCGAGTTAGGTGGCCAAAACATTAACTGAAATTCATCCTTATGGTCCACGAACCAGTCCAACACAATTCGAGCCTTGTGATTTCGAGTCCAACACAATTCGAGCCTATCCTGCTGGAAGATTCAATATCCAGTTGGGAAAACATACGCCATGTAAAGAGTGCAACTGATCCGCAGTTATGTTGAGATAGGATGCAGTTTGATGGCCTGTTCCGCCACAACTAAGGATTCCAGAGCCGCCCATGAGAACGTACCTCAAAGCATAATACCGCCACACCAGCCTGTGTATGACCTGCTGTACGGAGGGGGAGATGGAGCACCCTAACACGATCATCGACGTGATGAATGAGAAATCGTGATTCATAAGACTAGGCAGCTGTCTTTCACTTATCCATGGTCTAGTGTCGATATTCCCTGGCTCACTGTAGGCGTAGTTGACAATGACGCGTGGTCAACAGGGGCACAAGAGTGGGACGTCTACTGCGCAGTCCCATATCGAATAGTATCCGCTGAACTATGTGTTCCGAAACACTTGTACTTGGAACTGCATTGTATTGGGCTGTTAACTGAGCCGCTGTCTGGCGCCGACTTTGCTGTACCAAGCGGGACAGTCTCTGACGTTCTTTTTCTTTGATGATGTGTAGATGTCCATCACCTTGGCGTCTACTGCTGATTTCACCATAAGTTATCCCCTTTGTACAAATACTAACAATAGTAGATGGTGAACAACCTACCAATCGTAAAGTTTCGGAGATACTCGTTGTAAGCCGTCGGGCCATTACAATCTGCCCTCTATCAAATTCTTTTAGATCAGCAACCTTTCCCATCACTCGCAAAAGTAAGCGCAAGAATGATTCCTTACCTTCTCCAGCAGCAGTTAAAATACCATGCCCACTTAATCACGTACCCTCCACTTCATTCAAATGACTTCATTAAAAAATGTGGGGATGGACGTAATATTTTGCCTCGTCAGCGTAATTTCTTTCTATAACACTGCGAAAAAGTACTAAAATCGGATTGTCCGTTCTTATAATTGCCCCAACATGTCTGATACATCTGATGAATAGCATTTAAATTGCATTTATATGATTAGGTTTCCCAACCAATTTTTTTAATGCACGTACTTTTCCGAGTTCTGGCATAAAATTAATACGTATAACTCTTTCTGGCAAAATAACTAGATTTTAGAACATTTTGATTTTAATGCGCATTTTTCGCATATCGGAGCTGAGACGTCTGGAGGTCATTTTTATTCCTCCTTTCTACCCTTCCTCACATCATGGAATGTGCCAACAGGAAGCCATTTACGAATAACGTAATTAAATGTAAGCTGATTCGGCGAAAATGTATCTATATCTATCTATCTTCTATATATATATAATTATATATATTTGATATCTTTCTTTAGTATTTTTGATATCTTTTCATTTATTATTTATTGCACTACAAAATTTGATTAGTTTCGGAATTTAAGTAATGAATATTGGTGGGTAAATTGGTGCGTGCTATTGGAAAAAATAAAAGACAACAAGAATAATATTTCCAACGTATTCTTAAATGATAAAAATAATCTTTATGTCGTCAGTGGTCTAATTTTCTTAAATGTAGATTAAGCAGGTGTTTTAATATAATGCTATCTAATTTTGCTGAATTCAAATATAAAGAAAGAAATCAAAATGTCGGAATCTTTTAGTTACAATTTTAGTCACATTTTCAAATTAAAAAGGAATCTTTTTGAAAATATTTCGCTATACTCTTATCCAGTGGAAAGCTTGAAATATAATGGCTGTTTTTTTTCTCATTAGAAACCGTTTCTTGATACGATAACTTCTTTCCACGGACTGCTAAAAAGCCTGGAAAAGGTTCCTTGGTTTTCGCCTTTTCGGATTTTCTTCCTCTGACTCCTACAAATCCAGGGAAAAGCTCTTCAAAATAACGCATATGCGCTCGCTTTAGAGAAGCGACACGTTGTGAGTTGAGGTTATCATCCAAAGACATCCGATCCAAAATCCTTCGAATCATTAACTGATGTGGTGAAGGTAGAGTACCTTCTGATTCCTGAATTCAAAAATAAGAATAACAATAAACACTTATTTTATTAAGTTTTTTTAACAAATTATATTAAACACTTTTGAAGACAGAACGCGTATTAACGATAATTTTAAATTATATAATTATTTTAAGTACATAAAAATTGATACTGATAGAATTTTTAAACAAATAATGATTTGATTTGGTTTTATTAGATTACGGCAAAGCACTCGAGGGCTATCTGCCTTAAGGGAGGGATGCCTTCGTGGAGGACTTTCTAAGGGAAACTGGCTCGTATACACGTTACACATGAGGAAAACCACGAAAACGCCCATGCAGCCAGCCCGTTCGCGGGATTCGAACCTTGGACCGAACTACCAGTGTTCAGCGACGCTACCGCTCAGCCGCTGGTGGGCTTAAACAAATAAATAATGAACAGTTAAAGAAACAGAGCAAATAATGTAGTTTTGTGTATTTTAAAGTAGACTAGATTAAAAATTTAATTAAAATTAGAAAAGACTAAATTAGCTCAATTACATTTACAGTTTTAAATTTAATAAAATTTCAAAATTTATTTAATTATGAATTATCAAATAGTAAATAAAGCACAAATTTAAAAGCCTTGACAGTCATTAAACTCTTCTAAAAGGAAATCAAAGGATAGGAGCTTAAAAATAAGCTCCTTTCCTTTGATTCTACTCTATAAGACAGCACCAGTGTTGTCGATCTTTTATTCATTCATTTATTTATTGGTAAAAAAGGTAATTTATATTATTTCATTTTATTTTTGGCTTCTGTCGCAGTGATTTGTATGAGATTCGTCTGAAATGCATAGAGCTTTTCTTTTAATTAAACACTAGTTTTAAGGTTTAGTTTTGCTTAATTTGCTTCATTTTAGTTACCTCCTGGTTCGTTTCATAGGGAGCATTTGTAAACCATGGACGCTGTGGTTTTCCTTGCCCCCCCCCGAACGACGGGCATTATTTTGTCTGTTTTCGACATTGTCCCCACTCCTAAGGTAGGAAGTGGTGGCCATTTTATTGTTGAGGCACCTAACAGGCGGCCACCATTACCTCTTATGAAGAAAGTTACAACCATGCCTTCTCCGGGATTCGAGCCCGGGCCTTTCGGTATTGTAGTCGGCTCCCCTAACCACTTGTACATTTTTGTACTCTTCTTCAAGTGCCTTGTATGCACATGGATATCTCTTTTTTTTTTTTTTTTCATTTTATAAATGTCGTCTGCTCAGCCGGGGCCGCCCAGGGCTGTGGCCTGGTAGCTAGTGGTTGACTCCCGCCGAATTGGTAACCAATTCTGCATGGATATATCTATATCTGGATCGGAAGCCAACTCAGCTGTTTACCTCCCCTAACCACTATAACTATCCTGGTGGTGTTGGTAATAATCTGGCAGAGGGTAACGTACCACACCATGAATAACAACCAAACGATCGCGACATAGAAAGAAAAATGATTTTGAAAGCAAAGTATGTCTTTTGATTGCTATTGGAAATACAAATATAAGTAAAAAGCGAAGAACTATGCCCGCAAAAAATTTCAGATAAAGCCTATTTACTGATGAAACTTCTCTATGATATTTCTTACTGATGAATTATCGAATGGAGTGCACTTCGTCTTACCTGTGGCATGAAATTTTCTTCTTCAAAGTTTTCTGATGATACCTCACTTGCTGAAAGAATCGCTGCGATTGATAGGAATATCAGCAAGTTTCTTCCTTTCACTGTATGAAGAAAGGTAAATATAAATTTCTTTCAAACATATTTTTCAAACACACATATGTTATGATAATAGTAGTAAATGAAAATCTTCGATTTTTTTAAATTTAATTTGAACTTAATTCAATTAACCACAATTCGCATTTCTCAGAAGTTTGATCTGGTACGTGGCTGAACTAAGAGTATCAGAGATGAATATGCAAGGAGTTTGATTAGATCTCAGAAATTTTTTTAAGATTGGTCAGGAATACAAAAATAAAGTACTTTTACTTAGGATGATATAGCTGCAAACTTCACACGTGTGTGCTACACTTTACACCTCTTTCAAATACGAAAAATTATAATAGCAACAAAGGATGTATCATCATATTGAAATTTCCTTGAGTGTATTACATTCATGACTTTCATTTAATTTTTAGTGTTACAGAAATTTTGTATATATTTTAATAATTTCTTCAACCGCTATTTGTTTCATATACAAGCAAAACGAAGGATTATTATTGAGTTCTAAATTGCATCACAAAAACTCTAGAAAACGAAATTTAAAAAAACTTCTCTACAGATTAACGAAAAGCATCAGCAAAGTTTTCATACAAAATGAAGAAATAATATACACTCGTAAAAAGTTCAAAAATATTCATTAACACATAACACAAATTTAAAAAAACATACAGCTTTTTAATTTGAAATCTTAAATTTAAAATTACTTTAGAAGACAGTAACTGAATTTCATAAATTTTGTTTACTTAGTTAAAATTTTTCAAGTAACTCTTGCGTCATACTCTTACGTAGCTCATACTTAGTGATAAAGAAATAAATAAAACAGTAACTCTTTACTAAAAATTTTAATCTAAAGTCGATGAAATAAAAGCTAATATTACGTTAGTATTCCAAGTACACAGAAAACAAGTTTGCAGTGTAGTACGGTATACACTCAACAGCAAGCGTAATATCCAGCCAGTGATATGAACGCTACGTAAAGATTTTCCAAGGATGAAAAATTGCGTATCCATCGGTCAAAGGAATAAACTAAGGAAACGTAATTCAAAATGGAAGAAAAAAATTTATACATATCAACATAAGATTTTATTTGAAAATAAATTCGTTTCGCCAAATTTTGAGTTACAGAGACTAGACTACAAGACCGTTAGTCTTAGAAAAAACAAAGTATTTTCAATAAAAATAATTGTCACTTTTCAAATGATTACTGCTTTTTAGAATTTTATATATAATATATTCTTATTTTATTGCTCGCTAAACTATGAAAACATCTTATACGTACATATCTTTCTTAACGGTAATACATGAGGATTGATCTGCTTTGCCGTAAATAAACAGCGATGCATGATTTCGAAGATATTTTGATAACATTACTGCGGAATAATGTAAATGTATTGCGTAAATTTTTAAGCGCACATTTAATTGGGATTTTACAATATAAATTATTTCATGTAAATTTCAGTTTCTAGTACTAAGTTAACTACCTTGGATCAGATGATACTGCATGTAATGTGTTTAGCAACATATCACTCGAGACGTTACAGAAAAATTCACCTGGTTCCACCAAATCTAACACCTAAAAATAGATAACTAAATGCTTTAGAAAAAGTCATGCTTTTCTGGTTTCACTATAAAAGAGGAGCTGAACTTCTTCTGGGGTTTTAACAGGGTCTAAAGTTTGCTTGAACACTTAGGCGACTTTTTGATAACTCAGGTTTTGCTGTTGATTAAAACTTCAGAGACATTAGAAATTTTGGAGAGGAATTTTGAGAAAAGTTCACAATGCCTCTCTGGGAATCCAGCCGCCTGGGTTTTCAACACTAATCCCTACATTATAAGAGCATACGAATTAGGTTAGGTTAGGTCATTTGAATATTTCAAAGCCACGAGGGCTATATGTTTAGAAAATATGCCTTCGTGGAGGACTTTCTAAGGGAAGTTGGCTCGTATACAAGTTACACACGGGCAAATGCACGAAAACCTACCATTCAACGAGCCATATCGAATGGGTTCAAACTAAAGCAGGTCCAACTACCAGCTTTCAGTGGTCTTAACCACTTG